GCTGGAAGGAGGGAGAACCGCGGGTCGAACACCCACGTCTAGGCCAACGCGGACAAGGATAGCCGTGCCAGACATCGGACGGTGAGAATCACTTGTGGAACTCGGTGAGATATTAGCGCGACACCCTGCTTTAGGGCACTACTGCGCGGCATCAATGATGCGACCCCCTGAGATACGACCCCCCTGACAGCATATCGCAGTGGCATTCTCGGAGAACGACGACGATGCGAAGAGTTTGACGGCCCCCCAAAAGCTGCCATTCAACGCGGCGGTCTGCTTACTGTAACTGGAGCCGTGGCGGATATGTCCCCAGACCTGCTTCGGATGCTTGCTTGGGCTCCTTCGCTGATTGGTCCCCTTTGTCCCCTGCTTGACTGGCAATTTGGCTTGCTCGTCCGAGGGCTGCTGCGCTGTTTGTCTGGCGCCGATTCTGAGTCTGGCTCTGATTCATACACTGCGCCTGCTGGGGCCCTCTGAGGAGGCTGCCGGGGCACCTGAGGAGGCTGCAGAGGCCAGGGCTACGGCGGGCAGGTCTTCGACAGGAACAGGAGGGATAAGTTGTCCTGGGATGGGCGGTTTGCCCGCGCCTTCCTGCTGAGGCTGCTGCTGCTGCTGCGGCTGCTGTTGCTGCGGCTGCTGATGCTGGCACGCCGTCTCGAGAAGTTGTTCCAAGGCCTGCATCCGCTCCTGGACCTGCGGAGAAACTCCTGCGACTGGACCGTTGTGGAACGCCCCCAGAATCTCAAGACTCGCGGGAAGGAGGGCGAGGACGGGAGAGGCGCCTGCTGCTGAGACGCTGCGCGAACTGCGACTGCCAGCTGGCCCTCCAGCTGCCCGAGCTCGACTTTGGCGGTGACCTTGTCTGCCTCCGCCGCCTCGACCTTGCTGGCCAAGACGGTGATATCCTCGATGTCGTGGTCGACCTGCTCGGTGCACTTCTGAACTTTGCCTTGGGCGGCGGGGGCCTGATCGACACGGTTGCTCCAAGGGCTTGCCTTGAAGAGCCGATGACTTCGCCTGCTTGAGAGAAACGACGGCTTTGACGTAAGTTTCTGTTTCTCCCCCCGTGCCTTCGCGAACCTTCCAAAAGCTGACAAGATCCCGGTGCACATCGACGGGGCCCTCTGCTGCGGCCTGCTCTGGGGAGGCGGCGTGGATGCACTCACTCTGGTCGCTGACTTGGAAACGCGACCAGCGGTTGCCTCGACCTCCTCCTGATCCTGAGCGCCCCCCGGCAGACTTACCACCTCCCCCAGACTGCTGCTTCGCGGGCCCTTGAGGAGAACCTGACTTCGGCTGGGCTGGCGTGGGGAAGGTGGTGCCACACTGGGAACAGAATTTGTTGTTGCGGTCCATGTAGGACCATCCTTTGCATCCCTGACGCGAGCAGCAGTCAGATCGACGGTAGCTCTCTGGAGGAGCCATGGCCTGAAAGCTGCGCCTAGGCTGCACGAGGCGAGGACAATGGCAGCGGACGCCGCGGTCCGCCCAAGAGCCTGTATTGCTGAAGCTGGCAGCGCCGCTTGCCAGACTCAAACGAGGTTGGAAAGTTCAGGAGCGGGCCCTTTGAGCCGAAATGGCTACAAGAGGAGGAGGAGGAGGAGGAGGAGGAGGAGGAGAGCGCCATCGACAGGGAAGGTGAAGGCCACGAGGTCCGCCGGCTCGACGCCCGCGTCGCCCGCGCCCGCCCCTCACTCTTATACGCAATTGCGGGGTGCTGCGTAGTATTTTTTGAATTTTTTCTCCTGTAGAGGGACATGCCCGACTTAAACACAAAAACACACACGGTGGGGAAAAAGCGCACTGTGGGAAAAAAACCTACAAACACACACACAGTGGGAAAATAAACACTGTGGGACAAGTCTGTGGGAACAAAAACACACAGTATGTGTATGTGTGTGTGTTTGTGTTTGTGTGTTTGTGTGTTTGTGTGTTTGTGTGTTTGTGTGTTTGTGTGTTTGTGTGTTTGTGTGTTTGTGTGTTTGTGTCTGTGTGTTTGTGTGTTTGTGTGTTTGTGTGTTTGTGTGTTTGTGTGATTGTGTGTTTGTGTGTTTGTGTGTTTGTGTGTTTGTGTGTTTGTGTGCTTGTGTTTGAGTGTTTGTGTGTTTGTGTGTTTGTGTGCTTGTGTGTTTGTGGTTTGTGCTTGTGTGTTTGTGTGCTTGTGTGTTTGTTTGTTGTTTGCGTGTTTGTGTGTTGTGTGTTGTGTGTTTGTGTGTTGTGTGCGCTTGGTGTTCGTGTGTGCTTGGTGTTTTGTTGCTTGTGCTTGTGCTTGTGCTTGCGCTTGCTTGTGCTTGTGCTTGTGCTTGTGCTTGTGCTTGTGCTTGTGCTTGTGCTTGTGCTTGTGCTTGTGCTTGTGCTTGTGTGGTTGTGCTTCGTGTTTGTGTTTGTGCTTGTGTGTGCTTGTGTGGCTTGTGTTTGTTGTGCTGCTGTGTGTTTGTGTTTGTGTTTGTGTTTGTGTTTGTGGTTGTGCTTGTGTTGTGTGTTTGTGTTTGTGTTTGTGTTTGTGTGTGTGTTTGTGTTTGTGTTTGTGTTTGTGGTGTGTGTTTGTGTGTGTGTTTGTTGTTTGTGTTTGTGTTTGTGGTTGTGTTTGTGTTTGCGTTTGTGTTTGTGTTTTGTCTTTGTGTGTTTGTGTCTGTGTTTGTGAGTGTGTGAGCGTGTGAGTGTGTGAGTGTGTGAGTGTGTGAGTGTGTGAGTGTGTGAGTGTGTGAGCGTGTGAGTGTGTGAGTGTGTGAGCGTGTGAGTGTGTGAGTGTGTGAGTGTGTGAGTGTGTGAGTGCGTGAGTGTGTGAGTGCGTGAGTGTGTGAGTGTGTGAGTGTGTGAGTGTGTGAGTGCGTGAGTGCGTGAGTGTGTGAGTGTGTGAGTGTGTGAGTGTGTGTGTGTGTGTGTTTGTCCCACTGTGTGTGTGTGTTTTTTTGTGTTGTTGTTTTTTTGTGTGTGCGTGTTTGTTTTCCCATTGTGTGTTATTTTCCCACAGACGGAGGCCTCTGCACGCAGGGCCTCTGGGCGGACCTCCCAGGCGGACTTCTGGGGCCCCTGCGGGGACCTCGGCCGGCACCCGCTCCAGACCGGCCCCGCGGGCCGACTGGCCCCCCTGGCGGGCCCCCGCGCGTCGCAGAGCCACGGCGGGGGGCTGCTGGTGAGCGTTTTCTTATTCTTGGCGGAGCGCAAGAAGGGGTAGGGGGAGGGGGGAAGGCTTCTTAGAAAGGGCCTCGGCGTCTATAGACCCGCGCCTTCTAAGCAGGGGAAGAAGCCTTCCCCCCTAGGGGGAGGGGGGAAGGCTTCTTAGAAGCGCCCTGCTTCTTAGAAGGCCTCGGCCTTACGTCTATAGAGAAGGCCCGCGCCTTCTAAGAAGCAGGGGTGCTTCTAAGAAGCCTTCCCCCCTCCCTCTACCCCCCTCTGCGCGTTGCCGATATTCGGCGTTTAGACACTGGGCGCAAGGAGGGGGAGGGGGAGGGGGGGGGTCAGGCTCCGGACCTCTGCTTCACGCCACCGTTTGCAACAGTGCGTCCCATAGGGAAGACCCCGCCTGCTCGAAACACGCGCCGAAAACAGCTGAGCCCTACTCCATGGGGAGGAGGAAGGGGGCTGCGAGGGCCCGCACCGGAAGAACAACGAATCAGAAAACGATCACTTGGAACTCGCCGGCCTGGGCGTTGCGTAGTTACCCTCGACCTCCACCTGCCGAGGCTTCCGCGCAGCAGGTGCCGCACCGGCGCGGCCGCGACAACCGCCGGACCGCCGCTGCGGCCTCGGCAACGGTCGCGACTGCGGCCGCACCCGCGGCGGCCGCTGCGCGGCACCTGCCGTCCGAAGGTGCGGAAGGTGAAGGTCCAGGGCAATAGAGAAGAGAAGAGCGCGCTGAGTCCGCCAGACGGCCGGCGGGCCCCCTAGGAGCAGCGCGGGTGGGCCGGAGCCCGGTTATTGCATGTGGTGGAGGAAGGCGTCTTCCCAGCCGTCCCAGGGCAATAGAGGGACGATAAAAAGGGGGACGAAGAAGGGTGCACCCCTTCGGCCTTGAAGGCCCCCTTGAGAGTCCCCAAGGCGCACGAAAGGCGCGCCATTCTTCACCCCCCGCCCCCCCCCCCCCTGTTTGCATTTGCCGCCCCGCCCTTCCGCGAACGCCCGATCGGCCTTTGGGACGATAAAAAGGGGGACGGAGAAACGTGCATCTCTGATTTTCTTTCTTGTTATTCGTGACGCTGGAGATGCAAGGCAGGGCTGCGCACAGTTTGGCTTGCACAGCTGGCAGAAGGCAATTCGTGGCTCGGACGCCAGTGATGGCAGGAAAGGAAGCTCGAGCTGCCGCGCCGAGATCATGGGCGTGCTGAGCTGTAAAAAATGGAAAACCTGGCATTGAGCCAGGTACCCGGATTCCCAGATGTATTGTCATCCGACAGGCATTGTAACTGCCAGAGGAGATCAGCGCGAACTGCAGCGAGCGCAGCTGTCAAGCCCAGTGTAATACTTTTTTTCGACGAATCATCCTCATCATCATCATCATCATCATAATCATCATCATCATCATCATCATCATCATCATCATCATCATCATCATCATCATCATCATCATCATCATCATCATCATCATCATCATCATCCTATCTTCTCCCTGTGGAGCACGCCTTCATGTCTACCGAGTCGGCGTGCTTCGTCGACAAAAGCAACGCTGCACTGAATCGCCCACGCGGCCTGCAAAATCGGCCCCAGATCAAACGAAACCCACCCTAACAGACTGTCGGCTCGCCTCGTGCACGTTCACACGACGAGAAACTGTCAAACAGAATTGTCTAACAGACTGTCGGCTCGCCGGGGCGGAGGAGGAGGAGGAGGGGGATGAGCATTGGGCTGGGCAGGCCCTACATGGAAGGGCCATACACACTTGAAACAGTGAAAATCGCCAGCCTCCCAACAGATGGGACGAGGATTCTTCGATGCTACAGCGTCGCACCGAGGCTGGCTCAGCCAAGGCAAGTCGGCGAGAACGTGTGGAGGAGGAAAACGAGACGACGACGACGAGGACGACAAGCGAACAGGCCACGAGGCCAGGAAAAGCGAGAAAGACAAGGGACACGAAGAGGAACGACGAGAGGGGAACGTCGGCTCGTGACAGCCTGGAGGCTGCAGAACGGCCACAGGGCACGGAGGAAGAAGCCGCGCGCCAGTAGCCGCGGCCTGCCCACGCGGCGCGCGGCACGCTGCGTGCTGCCATGCCTCGGACCAGGCACGCGGGAGGGAACAGAGGAGGAGGGGGAAAAGGCGGGAGGACGAGGAGGAGAGAAAGGACAAGGTGGGAGGTGCCATATCATGAATTATAACGGCGCTGCAATACAAGTTAGTACATTCACGGCGCCGCCCGCCGTCGCGTCACTGGCCCCCTCGGCCAGCCTCATCCGCCTCCGCCTCCGCCTCCTCTTCCTCCAGTGTCGGCAGCCTGGCGTCGTCGCCCGCTGCCAGCCGCCCTCCACGCGCCAGCCACTCTTGGCGCTGCCTCGGGGCTGTAATACTTAAAGCTGCGTAGCGTTCGACTCGGTGGCCGACGTTGTGGTCGTGGAGCTCGAAGCGGAAGCGGTCAAAGTGATCGCATATTGCCCGCCACCGCAAGCGCAGCACATGTCAGCAGCAGTGAAATCTTCTTCGTCATAGTAGATCGCCCAATGACAGGTTGATGGCATCCAGTCCCACTTTAGACATCGAAGTGAGGAACCCTGGTCGTTTACAAAACTAAATTCGGCGGGAACACTGAGGTGCAATCCATATGTGTCCACGCACGAGCTTACATTCTGCTTCGTGAGGTCCCCACCGCCGCAATCACAGCAACTCTCCTTTTCGCCATCCGAACAATCATAATATGCAGAAAAACTAGCGTCGGTGGCATTTGGGCACGTTGTGTCTCCCGAATCAGTGCAAACAAACTCGTCCTCGTACCCTATGCAAATGCACTCATACCTCGGACTACAAAACTGCTCTCCGTACTGATTGGACAGGAGGTTGCCGTTCAAGGTATCCACGTAACACCCACGTGGCTTCCACTCGTAAGAGAAATACGCCCACCACTCGTAAGAGTAATACGTGTTTCTCTCAGTCGCGGAGGTAGCATCACTCATACCAAGTACCTGCGCAGCGAAAGGACACAGACCAATGTCCGCGACTGGAACCGGGCAAAATCCAGAAGTTATTTTGTAAAAGGGTAGCTCCGAGCATGCACCCGAAAAATACGGTTGCCCAGAAAGAGGTTGGATCAGACCGACAAATCCAACATCGCACTTGTATCCGTCCACAACGCTGTCTCCAGCAGAGTTATATGGACACCCAACAGGCTCACACGTGTCGTCCCCGTCAAGGTTGGTGTAACCAGCATCGCAGGTGGTGCAAGTCTCGGCACGGCGGCGCCTTGTCTCACTGCCACACTGAAGGCAATCGTCGAAAGTGCCGTCGTTATAGTGGCCAGCCGGACACTCGCTTGCAGTGGACGCGCGCCGCCTCGTCGTCCAAACGCCGAGGCACAGCTGGCAATCGTCCTCCATGCCCCCCTCGTTGTACCTCCCAGTCGCGCACTCTGCGCAGAAGACAGACCGCCTGCGGGTCGTGGTGCATCCCACGCAAGGGCTGCACTCGTCGCTGTCGCTGGCGTCGACATAGCCCGGGGCACAGTCAGTGCAGGACTGGGAGCGTCGCCGCCGGACGGCTCCACCCACGCACGACACGCAATCGTCCAAATTCCCAATGTCGTAAAAGCCGTCGGGGCAGTCCGTGCAGTCGGCCGCCCGCCGCCGCCTCGTCTCGCCGCCGGCGCAGCTGAGACACGTAGGACGCCCGCCATCGTTGTGATACCCAGCGAGGCACTCGTCGCTGTACCAAGGGTGCACGTGAGCACACGATGGATCTGCCGTCAAACACTCCGTAAGGACGCAAGCAACGGGACACTCGTCCATGCCGAACGATGAGTCGCAGCCGCAGGCTTTTGGGCAGAAGAACCTCAGGGACGTGTGGTCCCCGTCGGCGCACGCGTCGAGGTTCAGCAAAGACGTGACCTCGTACGACGCGAGAAAGTCGCAGCCGGACAACCCCCGCGGGTGCGCGAGCCCAGGCATCAACTCCCAAATGCCACTGACCAGAGCCCGCCCTATGGCGCCGGTCGCGACGGGCTCGATGAGGTCGGCCATCATGCCCTCGTCGGGATTGACCCCAGCGTAATCCTTCTCGACGACCTCGGTGACGCTGTCGTTGAATCCTGACAGGCTCGTCAAATATTCAAAAAGGCCCTCACGTAGAACAGGAACGCCCGGGCATTCCGCGGCATATGCCAACACATGCTTTCAAAATTGTCCCAGCAAGAAGCAGAACTCAGGACGTCCTCGCGGCCGCCACCGCAAGCACAGCACAAATCGGCCGCCTGGAAGTCGTCGTCGTCGGCCATGCCGCAGAAAGAGGGGACAGCCGTATACACGGAGCAGTCGTTGCCATTCTTGTCGAGTTGCGTTTCCTCGTTCGAATCAACGCACCCGCCTGCGAAGGAGAACTCCGCGCTTGCGAAGTCCGAGCACCCTTGGAACAAAGAGGAGGTAGTCAGCTGGTCTGAGCTTGCGTTCTGGGTTGCGTTTGAGTCCTGGGCTGCGCTCAACCCCCGATTTGGAATTGAGAAATCCAGCGCTGCGCCCAGCGATTCCGAAGCTTGCAAGCGCCGACTGGCACTCTCCAGAGTGCTCAGCGCATATCTGAAAGCTATCTCGCTTGTCGCCGCCTTGAATGTCTCGCACTGGCTGGGGCACCCGAAGCTGGCCCAGCGACCCCGAGGAGCTCCAAAGCTGCAGCCAAGAGGCCTCTAAACTTCATCCACGAGGCACTCGAAAAGATCCCCCACGAAATCCCAACGGAGAACGCTACGCTACATACCGACAACCCAGGCATAGTGGCGGGATGGACCGAAGGCCATTAGATAGAGAGGAGTCCGAGGTGCGACAGAATCATGAGTCCAAGGGGCGAGGTTCAGGCCTAGATGTATCACCTGAACCCTTCCTGCCGTGCTCGGAAAGGTACCCCGACAACAAACGAATCAAACATACGTCGCTCATTTGGGGTCGGCGGCAGAGGCGGCAGCCTTTAAATCCGGCCGCTCCCGCCCTGCGGTGTGGGCCGTGCGAGACCTCTCTGACAGAGTGTTTGGCACAGTCTTTGACCCCCTTCTCCAGTGCCTGGTCAAAAACCTCATGAAAGTCCCTCCGAGGGGGCCCCACTCTGCCGCCGGCCCCCCGCTGGCCCCCCCCCCCTTCAAGGTCTCAAACGGCCTGGGGACGACCCAAGGGCGCTCCAAGCCGGTCCTAGAGAGTCCCGAGCAGTCGAAGAGAGCCTCCAGACGGCTCCAGATCGCTCCAAGACGCCAAAGATGGCCTCCAGACGGCCCAAGACGCCTCCAAGACGGCCCAAGAGGCCTCCAAGAGCACCCCCAAGAGAGCCCCAACATGCAAAAATCATTGATTTATCAATGTTTTTTGAAGGATTTTCGCGTTCTCGCCATTTCGGCTTACCCACGCTCCAAGACGGCCCAATAGGCCCCCAAGATCGCCCCAGGACGGCCCAACAAGCCCCCAAGAGGGCTCCAAGACGGCGCAAGAGGGCCCCAAGACGGCCCAAGAGGCACCCAGAACGGCCTAAGAGAGGCCCCAGGACGGCCCCAAGAGGGCGCTCAGAAGGGGAACCCGAATGAACATTTTGAGCTTTCGGTCCCAAGAGGCCCCTAAGGGGGCTCTTAGAGGCCCCCAGGAGGCCCCCAAGAGGCTCCAAGAGAGCCCCCAAAGGCCCCAAGAGGCCCCCAAGAGGCTCACAAGAAGCCCCCAGGAGGCCCTCAAGAGGCCCTAAACTCCCCTGCAGAGGCCCCGAGAGTCTCGAGACCCCAAGAAGCGTCCACGAGGACTCCGACCCAAAACCCAAGCACGGTGGCGGGATGGGCCGCGCCACGTCACGACTTTCGATGCTGCGCGATCTTCGGCAAACTCCCAGGGAGCGGCCGGTGATGCGCCGCCAGCGTCCTCGATTATATGATCCAGGGTGGGTTTCCGCCCCCCGCCGCACCAATGCATATGGGATCGAGCTCCCCCCCGCTGAATGGGTACTCCCGTGAGCCTCGCGAAGGCCTCGCCTATGGGAAATTTCCCCCTCCCTATGGTCGTGGCCCTGTCAGCGTCGCGTGGCGTGGTGGAAGGCACCGGTGCTCCCCCTCCACCCTGTGGGTGTGGGGTGGTTCGTTGTCGTCGCCGTCGTCACCGCCGCCGCCGCCGCCGCCGTCGTCGTCGTCGTCGTCGTCGTCGTCGTCGTCGTCGTCGTCGTCGTCGTCGTCGTCGTCATCGTCGTCGTCGTCGGCGTCCTCATCGTCGTCGTCGTCGTCGTCCTCGTCGTCGTCGTCGTCGTCTTCCGTCGGCGGCGGGTGCGGTGGCGTCGGATGGAGTCTCTGCTCGGCCTTGGGTGGGGTCTTTGCTCCTCCTCAGTGAACTTCTGGTGGGGACGCCGAGTCGTCCTAGGGGGTTCTCTTGAGGAAACTCTTGACCTGTGCTGTTGTTCCTGTTCCTCTACCGAGGCTCAGCATCCTCTGACGCACCACCAGGGCGCCTGGGACGCCAGGCGCCAAGCGCAGCACTCCGCAGTCATTCAAGCCGAGGCTCTGCTCGCCACGCTGCCATCTTTTCCTTGCCGGGGAACGGTCGCTACTCAAGGGGAAGAAGAGGAAAGCAGGAGCACGAGGTGGTCGCGGCCCCCGACGCCTCAGAACGACAACCATGGGCACTCGCCATCGCTCGGACGTCCATTCCCTGTGTTTTTTCGGTTTCGTGCGTGGTTTTTTCGCCAAATGATCAAGGATGATCCTCGATGGTTCTCGCCGAGAAAAAATGCACACGTCCGAGCGATGCCAGGGGGCATGCCCTGTGATGTCGTTGGGGCATTCTTGCTTCCACCGGGGAAAAACTGTTTCCGCCTATCTTCGAAAGCAGATTCACGGTGCCGGCGGCCTCGGCGTGCGCCCGCCAGCGGGGTGCGACCGCGCCACCGACACAACAGTCGCCCGTGTGCACCACGGCATGCAGAGGGGGTCCAGGCCCCCCCCCCCCCAAAAACGATCGTTGGCGTTTATCGGGTCGGGCGAAAGGGGGGGATAGCAAAGGGGGGGGTTGAGAATCAGCTCACGTAGCTGATTTTCCCGGCGCCTCCCGGCGCCAGGAGGCGCCCATGTATCGAGGAATGGGCCCGTCGGCGGGTCTGAAACCAGCTGCGTGCAGCAAATTTCGTAACCCCCCCTTTCCCAATCCCCCCCTTTCGTCTGGCCCGAATGTAGAAGGGGGTCCAGGCCACCCCCCCCCGAAAGCAATCATTGGCGTTTACCTGGGGGGTAAAGGCTCGGCCCAGGTAACGAGCGTTACCCTGCGGAGGAAAAAAAACTGCAGCCGCAGAGCCACACACCATCATCTCCATCATCTCGGGGGTCAGCTCCCTGCCCGCGCGAGTGACGTGCCCTGGTCCGCCGGTCGGGTGCCGGAGCATAGTCCCGAGGCCTCTCGCTCCAAATACGGCGGAACCTGGAACAGAAAAACGTCCTTGAGGAACACGAGACCGTCCGCCGGCCAAAACTCAAGAATATTTGAGGGTGCCCTCCCCCTGGATGCACAATACCATCCAACAAACACGAAGAACAATAGGGTACCCACCCCGAGCCAACCTCGATCTTATACCTGAGCCCATTTAGAGACCATCTCCTTGGTCGAGATCCCCGCCCCCCGCCAACGAGTCGACCTCCATCTCCGGCCAGTATTAGGACAGGCTCGCACGCGATCAGCTCGGAAGCTGGCCCGGCCGGACACCCCCCTGGGTGACTGACTCATCGGGCCTTCTATAGCCCCGAGCTCCTCTCAGGCGCCACTGGCCCAGGGCTTATCCGGCCGGAGTTCGATCCACGTCTGGGGTTCGTCCGACGTTGTCTCTGCCTGGCCTTACTGCACTGGCTGGGTCTCTCGAGTCTTCACGCCGCGCGCTGCGGGCGTTGTTCGGTCCCCGCGGGAAGGGGGGAGGGACGAGAAGGAGCAACAGGGGAGGGAGGAGTCGGCACCGTTCAGTCCTCTTGAAGGGGACAAATGGGGCGCAGAACGACATACTAGTACGATGCGTCCGATCCGAACATACAATACAAGGATCTCGTAATCTATCGATCCCTGCGCGGTGCGGCCAGGAAGCGCCCACCACGGAGCTGACACTAGGAGATTTCTCGGTGCGCGGGTCGCCCGTGGGGGTCGACGCACATGTAGCACTAGTATGTCGGTGCGACGCCGACTTTAAATCCAAAGGAAATTCAAATGTTTGGCCTCCTCGGACCCCCTTGGGGTCGCTCTATGGGCCTCCTCCTGGGGTGCATTGGCACCTCTTGGACCGTGTTGAGGCCATCTTAGGCCCTCTTGGAGGGCTCTTGGAGAATCGCTTCTTGGGCCGTCTATATCTTGAACCGCCTTGGAAGCCTCTTGGGCCGTCGTGGAGCCTCTCGGAGACTCCGGGAAGGGGGCAACAGAAGAGGGAAGGCGATGGCAAAGAAGTGCCTGGCCTCAGGGTGTGAAGGAGGCATGCTTATACTTTCTGTATGCGCATATCTGTAGAGAGAGAGTGAGAGAGAAAGAACGAGAAAGAGAGAAACGGCTCTCATGTGTGAACATATATATATATATATGCCTAGACATGACATATGCACAAATGTGTATGTATATACTGATAGACGGACATAAGTCACCTCCTCTGGCAAACGGATCTGAACGTGTCTTCTTTCCCCCGCAAACAAAGCCACAAACCACTGACAGCATATCATATCCGTTTCCCCTCACGGGGGCTGTAAGCGACCCTTTCGAAATGAACTGCGCAGTGTTGGCCGGCCGGGCAAACGCCACCACATTCCAGGGGGAGCAAGAAGGAGAGGGAGGGGAAACAAAATTAAGAACGCGTTGCGACTGCATGCGCGGATCTGATCATGTCTGGGGGCTCCCCGGGGGCCTCCACCATCGTCGGCTCCGCTGCTGGCACCGCCAGCGGCAGGGCGTCCGCGTCGGGAGCGGCATGCCCTGCCGAGCTGCCCGGCCAGTCGCCCGCGGCGTCGGCGTCGAGCCTGGGCGGGGCCCGCGAATCGCAGACACCGAGGACGGAAGAGGGGGAGGGGGGGGGAGGGGAGGAGGAGGAGGAGGAGGAGGAGGAAGGAGGAGGAGGAGAGAGGAGGAGGAGGAGGAGGAGGAGGAGGAGAGGAGAGAGGAGGAGGAGGAGAGGAGGAGGAGGAGGAGGAGGAGGAGGCGGAGGAGGGAGGAGGAGGAGGAGGAGGAGGAGGAGGGGAGGAGGAGGAGGAGAGGAGGAGGGGGAAGAGGAGGAGGAGGGAGGAGGAGGAGGAGGAGGAGGAGGAGGAGGAGGAGGGGGAGGAGGGGGAGAATGAGGAGGAGGAGGAGGAGGAGGAGGATGAGGAGGGGGAGGAGGAGGAGGAGGAGGAGGAGGAGGCGGAGGAGGAGGCGGAGGAGGAGGAGGAGGAACAAAAGGAGGGGGACGAGGAGGAGGAAGAGGAGGAGGAGGAGGAGGAGGAGGAGGAAGAGGAAGAAGAGGAGGAGGAGGAGGGGGAAGAGGAGGAGGAGGAAGAGGAGGAGGAGGCGGAGGAGGAGGAGGAGGAGGAGTAGGAGGGGGAGGAGGAACGACCGTACCAACAAGGGAAGAGACGAGGGCAAGCGGGCAAGACGCGAGAAGAGGGCAAGTGTCCCCGCTCCAATTCGTCTCAAG